AACTGTGCCAAGAGCTGGAGGAGGGAGGAGGGCAAAGAAAGAAGTGTGAAACGGATGGGCCCACTCTCCCAACTGAACCATCTACTGGGGCCATGTGCTCGGGCAAGAGGCAGACAGGGGGAGAGAGGGGCCCAATCTTGCCCCTTTGGGGAACTGGCCTCTCAGCCTCACTGAGCCCTTCTCCCCTGACCAGCTTTGGCTCCTCTTCACTGCCGTCAGTCACTCAAATTCCTTGGGCATCTAAGGGACCTCAGGAAGTTACCCTCCTTTTCTCCTTTCTGGTACAGGCCTTCATACTCTCCTGCATGGACTCTTGTGATAACCTTCTAACTCATCCTCCTGCCTCGATTTCCTCCCCCCACCCCACCTCCACTGCATACCACCTGCTGGATCTCAGGGCACGACTCTGATCATACTGCTCTGCAATGCATATAGAAAAGGTCAGACTCTTTAGCATGGCATTCAAGGCCCCCCATAGTCTGCTCTCAACAACTCTTTCAGCTCTGTTGCCCACAATTTCTCTACACACACTCTATGTTCTAGCCAAACTCAAGTGAGTTTTCAAACATCCCCGCTAGACAGTCTTAGAACATCCCCATTACTTCCATCTCTATACCTTTTGCTCATGTTGTGTTATTATCTGCCTGGAATGCTGTTTTTCTCTGGTTCACATCCCTATTTATCTTCAAGGTCTAGCTCAAATGCTACCTTTTCCAGGAAGCTTTCCCCTAGCCAGAGGTAATTTCTCCCTTCTCAGAGCACTGAACTTGTCTCTCTCATAGAACACGTATCCCTATTTCCGTACTAGAGGTTTGCATACATGTGCTGATTAAGAGTGTAGATTCTGTGTTCAGATTGGCTAGGTTTGAATCCCAGCTCTGCCTCTTATCAGCTCTATGACCTTGGCCAAGTCACTTAACCTCCCCATGTCTCATTTATAAGATGGGAATAATGGAAGCACAACTTCTTAGTGTTGCTCTGGCAATTAAATAATACATTATATGCCTGGCATATCAATAAATGTTAACACCAATAAATGTTATTATTATTATCTCTCCTATTAAACTGTGAGTTCCCTGAGGGCTGGATCTGTGTCTGTTTATATCTGTAACCATAGTACGAGTGCCTGGTAAAGTGCTTTAAACATAGTGTGAACTCAGTAAACGTGTTCTGTGAATGACTGACTCAGGCACACCAGTCTGATCAAATCATCACATGGAGGTTACCACGTGCCTACAACACACCAGGCACTGTCTTATGTGCTAAGGACATGCAGCTGGGGAGGCACTTTATATATATCGTCACTTAATCTTCAGTAGGTATATAAAGTAGGTATTTTAAAAATCCCATTTTACAGATGAGAAAACCAAGGCACAGAGAGGGTAAGCAATCTGCCACGGTCACACAGAGCCAGGATTTGAGTTCAAGTTGGCCTGATCCCAAATCCTATGCTCCACGCTCTTCCCACTGACCACACCACATTGTCTAGTCCAAAGTCCTCTTCCCCCAGCTCTAACATCAAGGCAGACCACATTACAAGATCCTTTGCAAAAGGTTTTTCTGCCTCAGGAACAATTTGCTCTTTTGTCCCAAGAGCTGAAGGCTGTTCCTACAGTATCTCCTCTATCACCTTCTTTTCTCCTCCTTATTTTGCTTTTAGGCCCTGGTCCTCTTCCAAATGTTAGAACCTCCTGAACCTGTGGCCACTAGCGGCTAAAGAACTGCCTTCTAGGAACACGAAGTGTCCCAAAAGCACCTTCCCCAGCCTGAGAGGAGTCTCTCTGCTGCTTCACCATGCCTCAGCTAGGATGGATATTCCAGAAGCTGGCCTCCATCAACCTCCTCCTCCTCCAGGAAGCCTCCCCAGCCTGGCTGTACTTCATGATCCCGGCTCATTCAGCCTTTGTGCACTCTATTTGCTCTACACTGGTCTGAACTCATGAGGAACGCCCTGTGAGCATCTTACATCTGCTTCCTCTGTGTGCCTGTGTCGACCGCATTTGTTGGAAGCCCTCAAGGGAGCAGTGTGTAAGGAACAGCTGGTCCCAAGGTCTTGTGTTCGCCAGGGCCCCTCTTTGGCGGCTGGAGAGGGGAGAGATATGTTCCCTGCTGGGTAGTTGCAGCCCGACCCCCTCACCTAATGAAGAAGTGCGTCAGCTGCTGCTACTCTCCTGCCACATTTCATCCCTGAAACCCGATCCCCATCCCCTTCCAGGCAGGGGAAAGGGCCAGTTCTCTAGATATCAACCTAACTGAGCCAGGATCCCCAAACCCTCAGCCTCCCCGCAGTGCTCACTTGTTACAATGCAAATTTTCTGCTTCAGGAAATTGGGAAATTCTGCTATTTTGGTTTTCAGGAACAGATTCTTCCTGTCTAGATTTTCTGGGCCAAGGACAGGGCCAGGATTCAGGAGGGGAGCACAGAATACCCTTCACAATCCGTTCACGTTTCCTTTTCCAGCGGGTTGAACTGACAGTATCTGCGGGACTATGCTTCTTGAAGGGAATTTAGTGGAATCAATGAATGCAGAACTTGACCAGTATTACATGAGTGCCGTTCCTGGGCACATACTAACTTAGGGCAAAGCCAGGAACCACAGTCCTCCTGGGTGGCAGGGAAGATTCTGCCTAGATAAACAACCCCCCCCCCCCCCCCCCTCCGCCACAAGCTCATGACATAAACCGACTGTATGCCCTTCCCACCTCACTGCAGACCTGGGGTATAAACAAGCCAACACCTTCCTATCCCAGCTACAACCAAGCTGCATTGAATTCATCCCACAGTCCTTAGAGCAAGGGGCCAAGGGCTGAGCCTGGACTAACTCAGCTCTACTTTCTCCTTCACTCCCACTGGGGAAACTGAGGCACTGAGATTTGAGCCAGCTACCTAAGCACTGGGCTGAGGAGTCAGGGAGCCAACAAGACTCTAATAGCTCTGCCTGTCACTCTGCTCTGTCTCCTTTCTGGGCAGACTGGCACTGGGGAGGGGGCGGAGCACCAAGGGGGGGAGTGCAGAGCTCTCCCATCTGAGTGTCATTCTGGGCCCCAGGCCAGGCATTTGGCTTCCTCTCCAAGAGAGTCAAAGGCTGACACTGCTCAGACAAAGGGCCAAATGAAAGCTAATGGGGAGCTGGGTGACTTCAGTCTCTCCCCTTCCTCCTCTGGGGACAGTGGGCTCACGTCCTTGGCAGGAGAGGGTACAAATCAGGACCTGGAGCTCAGCTCAGTGCAGAGTCCTGCTTGCCTCTTTTATTCTCCTGGCATCCACAGACTGTCTTCCTCCCCTCACTACCTCCCACCTAGGGTGCTGTAAAAAATGCAAATCAGTAGGATTTTAAAATTCAAGCTCATGCCAGGAACACCCACAAACCTTCTATTAAGGCAGATCCTGAGGTGGGTGGTGTGGACCCAGATTCCAAGCATAAAAGGAGGATTCTATTAGATTCTTTTCTCAGCATGGGCCTTGGACCTCAGACATAATCTATGATGACCTTGACCTTTCTTTCTGGTATTGGACAAATGAATGGGAAAAGTCAGAATTGCATATGTGTGGGCTGGGGCCAGCCATCCCAAAGTGACATGGGAAGCATGTGAAAACTAGCATGGGAAGGGACAGGATGGAGACTCTTCCATGCCTCACGGAAGAAGCATTTCTCTGGGAAACTTTCCCATCTGAGTGTCACCACAAAAAGGGCTTCAGGAGGAAGTACCAGAGAAGTGACCATTGACCTGAGAAGGCCGTGGAGTGGGACAGACAGGAAGAAAGAGTGCCTGGGGCCTGACCAGAAAGCCTCAATGAGAACACCTGCGCTTCAAGCTCCCCCTCCCCCGAAGCCGGCCCCTGACGCAGCTGCCAAGTCCCCTCCCCAGCGGAAGAGTGTGGAGTTTGCAGGCAAGAGTGGGAGAGGCTGTCATGGAATCTGGAGAGCCATGGGCTGGCACTTTCTGGATCCAGGTCTGCTGTTGTGAGCCTGGGTGCCCCTGGCTCTGAAAAGTAAGAAGAAAGAGGAGGGGAGAAAAGTGAGACTGGGAAGAGGTGGACGCACGGAGAAACAAACTAAAAGGGACAAAAAGAGGCAGAGACGAAGACATGAGAGAGCCTGGCTGACAAAGAGATGGCACGGGGGCCGAGGGGGACATCCATAATATCTGAATTCTGTTGGTTGAAGAACAGGAAAGCTGGCAGGTGGGGGTTTGTATATGAAGTCAGTGAGGATCAACCTAACAGAGCTTAAGCAGGCACCCCTCGCCACACTTGGGTGATCTCCCCCAGACTGAGCTACCTCTCCCAGCCCCTGCACCCCCCGGCCTCCGCACGCTCCCTCCGCACTCCCCAAGCCCAGACCCGACATCTGGCCGGGCCTCCGCAGCTCCCGCTCGAGAGCTGCCTGGCGGCGCCCCTCCTCCCGCAGGGCCCTCCCCCGCCATCACAGCTGCCAGCCCCCTCCCTCCTGGCAGACAAGCCCAGGCAGACAGCCGGCCAAGCCTGCCCCCGCAGCCGCGCTAGCTCTGCCAAGCCCGGCAGTGCTGGGGGCCCCGGGCGGTGCCAGCTCCCCTCGAGCGAGCAGTCCCGGGCTGCCCTCCTGGCCCCGCAGGGTCCGGCCCGCACCCTCCCGGCGCCCCGAGCGCTCCAGGACGCCCCGAAGGGCCCCAGCACCGCGCGCGGGCGCCTGGGTCCCATCCGTCTGCCTGTCCTTCCTTCCCGGGGTGCGCCCTCTTCTCTCCCTCGGGCTCTCCAGGCACCCCTCAGGCTGGATTGGGTTTGCTCTGTCTCTGTCACTTGTTCGCGTCTGCCTCACTCTCACAAATCTTCGCTCCAAGTTTCCTCGGGGCCCTCTGCCTCACAACAGGCCTGCCCTCCACCTGCCCGGCCGCGCGCCCTCCTCTCCTCTCGGGCCTGCCTCCGCCCCGCCCGTCCCGGCGCCGGGGCCCGGCCGGGGGCCAGGTACCGGTCGGAGCGGAGCAGCCCGCCCTGGCCCGGGCGCCCTCTCCTCTCTTACCAGCTCCTGTTTGAGGCGGCGCAAATAGCAGTCCATTTCCCTGCTCTGTCTCCTCAGGCGCCCATTTGCCGGGCTCCGCTCCACGGGAGAGTCCGGGGTGGGAACACCCGCCCCACTGAAACTGCGCTCCCGGCCCCCGCGCGCCGCGTCTCTCGCAGCGCCGACCGAGCCTCTGGGTCTGCTCCGAGGCCCGGACTTGGAGCTGCTTCCCCGGCGGCTCGCGGCGCGCGGTCCGTGCTGGGGGCGGAGGGAGAAGTGGGAAAGCCTATGAGAATTCAGGGGGGATGCCTTCGGCCAATGAGAAGAGCGGACGGGGGGCGCGGGCTGGGCTGCCGCGGTGGACCCGCGGTGGAGGTTTGCACAGGGCGAGGGCCGCCCCCCGGGGGCTGGCCGGGGGACACCTGGTCTTGGGCGGCGCGGCGGGGGTTATCGTGACATCAAACTGTGCCCACGCCCCCCAACAAAGCACGTGACCCAAGTTTGGTTATAAAGCGAGAGCACAGTCTTACGAGTGGGCACTAGGAAGCGGTCTCAGTAAAAGGCTGAGTGCCATAGTGTCAACGCCCTTTCCCAAACTCCCATCAGGAAAGGAACATCGTCCACCCCAGACGCCGCTCAGCAGCTCCTCCCCGTTACCCCGCAAAGTGGACTATGGAAGTGTGGCTCTACCTGACAACCTAGTGTAGGGTCCTCCCACTTCACTCCTCACCCATGGAGCGGAGGAGCCGCCGCTCGGTCCATTCACTGATTTAACACAAAGCAATGGAAGGTTCACTGTACTCCCCGCAGGGTTGTAGCGCTGGGAATATTGAATAAGACAGGCAAGGTATCTGCTCTCAAAAACGTACATGGGGCGGGAGGAGGGAAGGGATGAGACAAACAGATAAAAAATAAACGTGGTAATTTCAGATAGTGATTATTTATGAAAACATACAACGGGTAATGGGGTGGGGGCTGCTTTCAATAGGGTGGGCAGGGAGAGGAGGAGCAGGCCTTTCTCTTGCCCTGTACTCCGGCGTCGGTTATCCTAACTCTTGCTCTGGCCTCTTGCGAAGCGCTCTGTAAGGTTGGGGAAGGGAGGGGGACTCAAAGATGCTCCGACTCTATCAACAGGTACGGCCCGAGCACCTGAGGTGTGCGAGCTCCAGCAGGCCCCGCGCCGCGGAGTTGCGGCAGATGGACCCGAGGCGGGCGGCAGGCGGCCGGGGCGCTCCTCCGCCGAGCTCGGGACGCGCCGCGCCCTCCTCCGCACGCGCCCGGGCTGCGGCTCCCTCCCCGTGCCCAGGCGCCGCGCCACCCAGCTTGGCCCGCCGGGGGCGGTGTTGCAGGGCCCGAGAGTAATTAGGGCAATTAGCGACGTGTTTTTTCAAGGTAATTAACGGGGAAAGTTTGCCCCAGGCAGAATTTGGGGTCTCTGAGTGAGACAGAACCAGAAGACCCGAGATAAGGCGCGAAAGAGAATGCAGGCACCGCCGTGATTCCGATCCGTGTCCGCAAAGAGCGCCACTTCTGCTTACTGTTGAAACGTGAGAGAGAGGGAGGGAGGGAGGATAAAAATGAACAACTTCAGAAGAGAAGATTTGGCAGAGTCCAGTCGGATGGCCTCCACTTAACCCCAGGTCCTCAACTATAGTGGACCTTGCCTAAGTCTTGGCCTAGCCCTGAGTACCCCCTTTGGACGAAGCTGGGGAAGCGGTAGCCGAGGGATAGAGAAAGGAAAGAAGAGACGCAGGTGGGTCAGAACCGGTGCGAAGCCTGCGTCTCGGCGGCTGCTCACCAAGCCCAGGTGCCCGCGCTCCCTTCGCGGTCGCTGCTCAGGATCCTGCGCCGCACCGAAAACCCGACCGCTGCGGGATGGAGCTGAGAATCTGCTCAGGCGTTTTCAACGCCCGCTGAGAGAGCCGGAAATTACATTTCCTTCTGCTCTCCGGGTCCGAGTCTCCTGCTTCCTTGCAGTTGTGAGCCAAGATCCCCAAGGGGCCTCCTTCCATGGGACCCGAGGAGTCTTGAGAGGAGGAGCCACCCACAAGTATGGAGCTGCGGTCCAGCTGCAAATTCTGGAGTTGAATCTTCTGGGACTGGCATAGAAAGCGAGACCAGACCATTGACTTAGAGTCCACGGAGGAAGTCTTATTCGGGGAGAAACGCCACAAAAGGCTTCCCCAACCCGGAGGGCCATGCTTGCTCGCTGTTGGATCTCCAGCACCGGGCACAGTAGAGGCTGTGGGAGGCACTGAGTAAACATTTGCGCGTCTGTGGTTGAAAGTCTTTAGAGTCAAGTTTAAGCCCTTGGTTTTCTCCATCTCTGAGAGCTCATGGGCTAGAATCCTTTTGCAAGTTAGGATGGTGGCTATGGTTCAAACTCCAAGAGATGCAGGCTGATCTCTCTGCAAGAATTTAGGACTGCGTGGTTACCGTCTTCTAGACTGTTGACAACATAGTATGGCCTTGGACAAATGCTTTCTTTTTACTGACCTCAGTTTCCCCTGCTTATAGTTTAACCCTCTGTGAATCTAACACTTTTATACTCCTTATAAAACTCTGTTTTGACAATGATCTGCGAAGTAGTCAGGACAAGAGGAATCCATCTTAGAGATGAAGAATACATCGTTAGCAAAGCCGGGTCGCATTCCATCCATTTTTAAGGTCAAGGATGTGGTGAGAAAAAAATCCATGACCATAATCTCAGTGCAGTTCTCAAAAGAGAGGGCCCGGATGAGACAGAGGTGCTGCTACTGTGAGGTTCTCACAGGACTTTGGAGGATAATTGCTGTCAAACTCTGAAGTCCTTTCATGATGCGGGGCCATTGCAACTTTCTTCTCCCTTGCTCCTGAGGAGGCCGACATTACACCCTGTTGTGTGCGGCTCTCTCCCCTCTTGTTTCTGAAGAGGTAGCTCTGTCAACTGGGCAGCGCAGGAGACAGTAGGAAAAAGGGCTGCCTTCCTTCCCCTTTTCTTTTTTTAAGGGCTTAAGTGGTAGCTAGTAAAGCCTGTTGCCATGGTTGTATAAACATGGGTAAATATTCCCCGGGCTGGGGATGGGGGATGGGGGACGTGATTCATTTTTGCTGAAGAGGAATGAAATGGTTCAGCCTCCTCCCTCCTGCCCCCCAAAACTCATCCTGGAGGGAGGATGAGACTATCCCACTTGAAAATAAAGAATAAATCAAAGGTCTTGAGATTGGTTGTGAACATACTTTCTCAAAGCCATCCAGAGCTGGGGTGGAACCCTCAGAAGGCACCTGGGCATCTTCCCCCTGCTGGTGGGGGTAAGTGTATGGTGGGTACTTTTCCTGAGAGAAAGGGTGCAGCTCCTGGAAATGGTGTCAAAGAGTATCAAACTCTTGGGGTTTGCCCAGCCTAGTCAGGGAGGGTGGCCCCCTCTGTCCCACTGCCAAAGCCTGAAGGTCCTGACACCAATGACTGAGCTCAAAGGGAGAGGCAGAACCAGTTGTGTCCCAACAAAGCTTAGATCCTAAACTAAACAATGGAAACACTGCCATTCTCCTGGCTCCAGACCCTACGGCCCACACCTGGATGTCCCCACCCACCAAGTCCTAGCCAGCTCTGGAAGATGCACCCCTCAGTGAGGCAGTGTTCATCTCATCTCCACGGGTAATGGAAGAGCTGGGGAGCTCATTGTGATGTGAGGAAAGAGATACGTGGCCACACACAGTCTGGAAACCTCATCACAACATCACCCTCCCAAGGGCGGGGTCCCTGTCTCCAGTGCCCTCATGCCTCCACCCCTTGTGGCTGCCAACAGCCATTATCCCAATTCCCCTCCCACTCCCCTCACACCTCCTGAGCATCAACAGGAAAGGGTGACCCTAGAGATAAATATGTGCTATTGGAATGTGTTCAGATATCACTGCGGTACTGTTTTTCTCCAGGCAGAGGACCTCGCCTGGCAGGCAGGCCCAGAAGTGCTGAACAAAGACTGCGTGTCTGAGTGTGAACACATTGAGATGATGGGGGAGGACTGAGGCCCAGCTGTTCTTGAAAGAATCTAACCCCTAGCTTTCACGACATCTTCTTCTGTCCACCTTAGACAGAAGACTGAGCTCCTCTGCCCCTTATAATCCCAACGCCAGGGAAGACAGCAGGGGGACGAAGTGGCCTACATGTTGGGAGGCTTCTCGGTTCCAAAAGAAAGGTTCAGTTTGGGTTTTAATTGAAAATTCTTTTGACTGGGTAGAGGATTCAAAGACTCTGGTCATAAAAAGCTCCGTTAGCTTTCAGTGTCTTCAAACATAGAGTGTTGTTCTCCCCACTTACATACAGAGCAACTGAGGCCCAAAGAGATTGGTGTGTGTGGTGATGGAATAAGGTCTACCTGTTTCCAAGGTAACCTCTTTCTACTACCCTACTCTGCAGAGAGCAGGGGGGATGTGCCCTAAGGTGGATTACTGAGACAACTAGAGCCATTGAGGTGGTGAGCCCTGGTAGTTGCTTATCCGCAGAATGCCCTCACTTTTTTTTTTTTTTTAAAAGATTTTATTTATTTATTTTTTTCCCCCCAAAGCCCCAGTAGATCGTTGTACGTCATAGTTGCACATCCTTCTAGTTGCTGTATGTGGGACGCGGCCTCAGCATGGCGGGAGAAGCGGTGCGTCGGTGCGCGCCCGGGATCCGAACCCAGGCCGCCAGCAGTGGAGCGCGCGCATTTAACCGCTAAGCCACGGGGCCGGCCCAGAATGCCCTCACTTTTATGCATAGTGCTAACCTAGACACCACACTTGTAGCCTTAACTCCTTACAAAGTCACTGGGCTGCAAGACCAGGCTATCGGCTATGCAGGTGCTAAAATTTTTTGGAGGGGGCTAGCAGGAAGGTGTTGGAAGAAGAAAAAGCGGTATAGTATTTTGAGAAAACTTCATGACGAGTGGGCTATCTCACCTGCACAATTCAGAGGGAATTTTAAGTGCAAGATTAGGCCAGTCCAAATAATGAGCAGTTAGTCTATGGGCTACTACTGAGCCCTATTTGGAACTATTTGCAGCCATGGGCCTGGTGCTTATTGTGCCTAAGCAATGGTCTCATTGCTCCTTGGGAAGCAAATATTTCCATTTTGCAAACATTTGCTGGGAAAGCAAATATTTTTCAACTGCAAAGAACCCCCAAAGAATGTCAGGGCACAGCTAAGGGAAATACTTATAGAATTTGTGCAAACTAACCTGGTAGATGTGAACTGCACCGAGAAGAAACGTGACTTG